AGAAGTTGATTGCCGCGAATCAACATCACCACCCATATCTGCATCTGTGGTAACATCTAACACAGGTCTATTATCACCAAATCATAAGCACATTTGGAAGTGCCCTTAAGGATTACCTGAGAATCCCACTTCACTGCATTCCAGTGTTCTTTACCTGGATTTGAAAAGAAATCGGCTACAACACCAACAAGCCATGAAAGGCAATATCTGTTCTTGTGCTATACCATGGCGGTAACATTCAAAAGCTGCCAACGGCGGATGCATAAGGAATTTTCTTTCAGTTCTTCTTTTTCTTTTCTCACTTGAATGACATGACTAAAGACTTTAATTTGAAATGACCTTGCAAAGCGGGAAGTAGAAACTGGTTTTGCATTGCTCATATTGAATCTGCTGAGAACTTTCTCGATGTACTTCTCTTGAGACAGCCACAACTTTCTTATTCCTGTCTCTGGGAGATCTTTATTCCGAGTATCTGTTTTTGCCGATCCCAAATCCTTCATTGGCAAAGATTTTTCCAAAGTTTCCTTTTTCAAGCTCTCAATTTTCTTAGCATCCTTGGCCCACAATAAGCATATTCATCCACATATAACAAGAGAAATAATAAAGTCCCTTCTATACTTTTTCACAAATACCACAGTGATCAGAAGTAGTTTTCTCATACCCGTGATTTACCATGGAAAGAGTTCAAACTTTTTTTTACCATTGTCTTGGAGCTTGTTTTGAGGCCATACAAGCTTTTCTGCAATTTACACACCAAGTGTTCTTTGCCTTTTGACTCTGAACCCTTCTGGTTGCTCCATATAAATTTCCTCCTCTAAGTCCACCATGGAAGGAAAGCGGTCTTACATCAAGTGCTCGATCTCCCAAATTCAGGCTAGCTGCTTAAACCGAGCACAAACTCTGATAGAAGACATCTTGACTACGCGGTTTGAGAAAATTCTTCAAAGTCAAAACTCCTTTCTCTGACCGGAATCCCTTCACAACCAGTTCCGCCTGTACCTTGGCTGTTGAGTTTGTTTCTGTTCAGTTCTTTCAACTGAACACCCATTTGTTCTTCAATGCTTTTCTTACCTTGAGGCAGTTTCACCAAACTCATTAAGTTCTGCGTTCTCATGCAAGGACTCCATCTCATCTTGCATGGCCTTTCAGCCACTTCATTCTTTTTACAATCTTTCCATTTGCCTCCTTTGTAGTTCTCTGGTTTCTCCCCCTTGAGTCAACAAGTCATATTTCATTAGGGAGAATATTCTTTGGGAAGGTATCCTGCCTCCTCGCAGATCTTCTCAATTGAGGCAGTTCTTCTATTGGAGCTGGTTTCAGCATTCATTCTGACAGGTTCTATCATCATCTTCTTCATCATTTTGTGGTCTATTATTGAGGTTTCTGCAATCAAGACTAACAGGAAACTCATTGATAGACTTTGGCTTTTCATTTTTCTCAAGTCTTCAATGTCTTGGTTCTTCCAGGAATACTACATCTCTGCTTCTGATGGAGCTTCTTTTCAACTGGATCACCATAATCTGTCTACCCAAAATCCATCATTTCCATAACCCAAGAAGATACACTGTTTTGACTTCGGAATACAAGCTTGGGGATCTTTCATCTTTTGGGAACATGAGCAAAAGCCCCATGCAGCCAAATATTCTAAAGATGATCGTAAGAAATATTTTTCCTTGACCACAACCTTTTCTGGAAAACATCTCCCTTTGAGGGATGTTGGAGAGGTGAAAGGTTGATCAAGTAAACATGCAGTATTCATTGCTTCAGCCCAAAAGGGTTTAGGGAAGTTTAGCATGAGGAGAGCATGCATCGACCCTTCAACAATTGGTCCTGTTCATTCTCTCTCAACTCCATTCTGCTGTGAGGTTTTGGGAACTGTCTTCTGAAGTTCTGATGCCGTGTTCTGAGCAATACTTCACAAATGGACCTCTGTACTCACCCACCATTATCAGCTCTTAAACACATTTAGCTTTCTTCCCGTTTGTCTTTCAACACTGACATGAAAGACTTAAACATATCCAGCCACCTGGTTTTTGACTTTATTGGGAAAGCCCACACCTTTCTATAATGGTCATCAATAAAGCTAACATAATATAAGCAAGCCACTCAAAGAATTTTTGTCACCCATTGAGCAAAACATCAGTGTGTTACCAATTTAGAATACCAGGTTTTCCTAGATGGCAGAAGGAGATCTTTGAAAGGAAACTCTATGGTTGGTTTTACCAGGACAAACAATCAGTGCAATAATTTTCAGAGGCAAACCTTTTCAGATAGCATTTTTCTTTCTTAGGAGAAGTCTCCATTCCTTTCTCCACTTCAATATGCCCAAGTCGTTTGTGCCATTACCAGCAGATGAACTTCAACTGCATTTCACTACTCCTGTTGCAAACTTTTAGCCTGGGATTGTAGTTAGAGGGCAGTTTTGAACTTCTTCCCGACCGAACACCAAGTGCCTTTGGAAAGCTTTTCCACGTCTCTGTTAGACAAACAGATTTGCCATTAGCCCAAATTCATCAAGGACAATGAACTGCAGATCAGATTGAAGTTTGCCGTAGGAGTATCTCACATCTCAACCAGAGATCATAACCAGGCATTTGGTTTTGATGCATTACCTATTCCAATGCCGCCAATTTTCCACATATGTGCCATTCAAAGTGCTTGACTATGGCCGTAATCTCCCGAGGGTAAGTGATGAGAAATATTCCTATTTGAAGAAATATGATAAGAACATGCAGATGTCAATAATTCCATAAAGATTTGTTGACTTTAGTGGAACACTCACTAAGACCAGCATGAGAATCAGCGCACTTACCATCACAAGTGCAAGTCAGCATTCAATAGCTACTGAAGCTACCTCCGATATCGTCTTTTTCTCATTCACTTTCTTTGGCTCGTTCCTTCTCCACTTTCTACAATGCCTTTGGAATGTGACCGGGCTTTGCCACAAATGATAGCAAGTGACACCTTTTCTGACTTTGGATCTTCTCCGTTTGAATTGCACCTTTGGTCTGGATTTTGGTGGGTATCTTGTTCTGCCTTCTCCCCCTCCTTCTGTAACTGTAACGAGTGCATCTGAGTTGCTACTCGTAGCATTCTCCTTACGTCTTGCGTCCTTCATTCAGAATGCTTTTCTTGGACTGTGGTTAAGTCAGATTCCCCTCCGACACATTACTGAGCGTAAACAGTCAGTGTCTCCCAACTGTCTGGCAAGGGAACTCAATAAAGAATAGTGCCTGCCACAGTGCCTGCACCTGGTCGTCAAACACTATCCTTGACGTCGTCAGTTGGTTCACTATTTCTTGAAATTTGCCTAAGTGATCTGAAGCACTTTCGCCATCTTTGTACTTTAGATTTACAAGCTTTTTAATTAAAAAGGCTTTGTTCTGGGCATTTTTCCGCTCGTACATGTCCTCCAACTTCTTCCAAATTGAATAGGCATCTTTCTCATGAGTGATATGATTTATGACGCTCATTTCAACAGACTGCCTAATAGTTGCGACTGCTTTTCTGTTAATTGACTTCCAATCGCTTTCATTTATTGAAGAGCTAGGCCTGACCTTAACTCAATCGTTTCAAACAGATCTTTTACAGCATAGAAGATCTTCCATTAATATCTTCCATACTGCATAGGTTGATGAGTTGAGTCTAACCATTGTGGCCTGTTGGTTCTGTCGTCCATTTTAACTTGTGGCAGAATAATTTTATCACCAGCCCAAAAACCGTATAGTGGAATAGTAGTATACGGATAGTGGACCGTATAATTGAATAAGTAACAGTATACGTAAACAGTACTGTATGCGTGAATAGTAACTGTATATGTGAAATAGTACTATGCGTGAATATGCTGGGCTTATTTGAACGACTCAGAAAAGTTAACGGCCAATAGTACTGTTCAACCAATCAACTTGAGTTATGTTTTCTATTCATCATAAGTCGATTCTGCAACGGTCTTTTTCGAACGAGACTGCACTAATGGACTCGGCGTAATTTTCTCGTCGTCGGGTATATTTATTTTTAAAATATATCCACGGGATCGGTAAACCTTCGCCGCTCTGATACCACTTGTGTCCCGGGCAATAAGATACGAGGGCAATAAGATTACGAGAAAAATAACACAGCGGAAAAATAAAAATATGACACAGATATTTACGTGGTTCACCCTTTAACTGTTAGGGCTACGTCCACGGGATAAAAACTGAATAATTCTTCCACTATTAAAAATAGTAGGCTTACAAAGAGAGTAATACAAAATAGTGGCACTCACACCGTGTTTTCCAAATTATCCTCACTATTCTCTCGACCCGAGTTTTAGAACCCAATTCTAAAACTCAAATTCTCTCAAAAAAAAACTCTCTTCACTCTTTTGGTCTGTGTTTTATGAAGCGTTGTGCAATCTCCTATTTATAGGAGGGATGGACGCGGGATTAGGAGAGGTGGACGCGTTAATTACGCGTCCACCGAAAAACGGATCACCTACCAAGAAGAAAATCTACCAAGAAGAAAATTCTTATTCCTTATTTCATTTTCAACTACTGTGGGTCCTACCACGTTTTTCTGTTTTTTTTTTTTTTTATTTGTTTCAATGTGGGTCCCATTAAGTGGCACCGCCACAACACACCAAATTACATATATTAAAAAAAAATAAAAAAACCATAAAATAAATGGCTTGATTATGTACATGCTTAACCAACCATAATCATGGAAAAAACCAAAGAAAATATATATATTTATATAAAAAACCTTAACTTCAAACACACTCAATCTCCGTTCTTTGGCGTGCCGGGGGCAATCTAGACGAGGAAACTCAAGGGGGAATTTTTTTTTTTTTTTTTTTTTATTTGTTTCAAATGTGGGTCCCATTGAGTGGGCACCGCACAACACACCATTACATATATTAAAAAATAAAAAACATAAAATAAATGCTTGATATGTACATGCTTAACCAACCATAATCATGGAAAAACCAGAAAAATATATATATTTATATAAAAACCTTAACTTCAAACACACTCAATCTCCGTCTTGGGCGGTGCCGGGGGCAATCTAGACGAGAAACTCAAGGGAAAATCATTTTCAGATATATCATCGTTGCCTTCATCAAAATTCAAAGCATAGCTCATAGCATCGTAATGAAAATCACCGGAGTGGGAGTGACTTCGGCGATGGTGGCCGAAGCGCGTATAGTCCTGTCCTTGTCCTTGGCCGCCGCTATTTCGGCCAATACGATAAATGAAGCTCTTGCACTTGCGTTTGATCCGGGAAGAGGGCAATGTAGCATGAGGAATGGCTTTACGAAAAGGAGAGAAGAAAGAAGCGTATTTGTGTTTTAGTTTTTGTTTTAGAGTTGGAGAAGAGGGACAGGAAGAAGAAGAGGTGGGAATGGCTTCTTCCATGAAAATGGGGGGGAAAGAGAGAGTAATGGTTGAAAATGTCGTCTTTTTTTCTTACGGAGAAGAAGATAAAACAGAGATAGTGCGTTACAAGAGGACCGAGGGATTGTCGTAGTAGTTAGAGCAGTTCTTGGTTATGCCTGGATTTTAGGGGATTATTAATTTATTATTAATTTGTAATTTGTAATTAATTAATTCAAAAAATGCTTTTTAGTCACCTTAAAATATTTTAATAATCCAACTTTATAATTAACAATCAAATGGATTTTATGAGCGTTCTTAATTTGTAAGTCTACTTAAATTGCAACATTGTACCAATATTATCGTACTATAATATCTCTAAAAAAAATATAATTAAATATCAATAGAAAATTGGATTAATGGAAACAAAATGCTGTCTTCAAATAAATTTTACTTATAAGCTCAAATTATGTTTATTCATAATGTTATCCATTTTAAGTTAAAAAAAAATTATATAGATGGTTCTCCTTCCCTTGTGTTTCTACATTAAAATAGGTATTTTCACGTTTACGTAGATAAGCTATTACGCCACTGATTTTAAACAAGCTAATAAGGCTCCTTCAACAAAAATGAATATTTTATAAATCGAAACTGAATTGAACCAAATTTCAAACCGAACCGAATCAGCCTTTAGTCTATGAGAGCAGGAGAGAGAAATTCATTTTCTCATCTCCTTCCACTTTCTCTCAACGCCGATAGCCCCTTTCCCTCTTTTTGTTCCATTTTCAACCATTATGGTTTCTGGTGATTTTATGCTCTAGATTTAAGTTTTCAATGCCATAATGAATATTTTGACCATAAGTATTCGATTTTAGACTGTGTATAATATAATCAAAGCTTGAAGCTTCGATCCTTAACATAGTTATGGGTTTCGACGAATCACTCCATTTCCTCTAAGTGTGGGCTGCGAGATAGGTCTCGATCAACTCCTAGCCGCCTCTTGAGCATTTTCCCTCCATCGATTTGGGGATTGGTTAAAGCATGATGGAGCCACTATGAATGGTGGCGATGAAGTGGCTGTCAAGACTATTTTCTGCGTGATGGCTTATCAAGTCTTTAAATTAATGACGGAAATGGACTCTCTGTGAAATTCCGAACAAATAGGGGTGAAAGTTAATCCATTTTTGGGTCACTGTAGTTCCTATAACTGTTGAACTTTTTTCCGGTAAGCCTTTGTTGGCTTTGCTTAGTCAGTGACCTATACGTTATTGGGCTTATAACTTATCCTATAAAAAATGTCAAAAAAGTATATATATATTTTTTAATGGTAGAAATATGACGGAAGGAGAAGCATGTATAACTGTCTTAATTTCTAAATCATGTTGAGAATAATAGCAGTTCGTATAAATTTGTTGAAGCCGCTTCCCAAATGCTCTAAACCAAAAAAAGGAGACAAGACGAAGTAGAATTGTAAGTTGGGCCTGACCCAGGCTCCGCCTATTCTATCAAAGTATTTCTAAGAATTATAAAATGAAATTAACAGCCCAAACAATAATCAAAACACAGCTCCTTATTAAAAAAAATTAAATAATAAAATTTCTTAGACATTTGATATTTGGTACGACTCAAGAAAATTAGTGGAAAATATTTTTCAGAATTTGGAAGAAGCTAAGTCATTTTGAAAGAAAATGATACCCTCTTTTAAAAAACAAAAACATTTTTCAATTATTATAAATTATTTGAAAACAAATGCAATTATAATTTGTTGTTTTATTTGGAATACAATTACACAAAAATCCTCTAAATATGACTTATGGATCGTCTCATTGCATCTTTTCACAAAAGAGATGCAAACACTATAATCTTTTATCAGGAAAAAGAAAGATGTGCTAATGAAAATTGAAAAGCAAGCACAAAGTGATAATCCAAGTCATCAATATAGATCCATAGATGGTACTATATCGGTTGCATCCACCTGAAAAAGAGGATAAAGCATTTGATCCAACTCAGAGAAAACGACAGTAATTAGGCTTACACATGTGCTTTTGCGTAGTTTATTTATTTAGTTTGTCGTTTAATTAGCTGCTTTTAAATAATTTATATATGGTCGTGTAAAGTTTTATGATCTTGTGATATTCTTGTTTGTTTTTCCTTCACATGCTCCGTATTATTGTACAGATTCTGTGTCGTTGCATAAATTATCAAGTCTGCTTCTAATTTTATTAGTATAGAAATAATTATCATTATTTAAAACTTTTTTACTATTTATATAATTTAAAACGTTATAATAATATTTATTTTCAATTAAAAAATATTATTATTTTTAAAGTGATATCATACACGCCAAGTTACCTAAAAAATATATTTAAAAAAAATATTATTATTTGAATTTTTTTATTATATGGTCATAAGAGTTCTCGTTTGAATAAAAATATTATTGTAGTAAATTCTTCTTGATACTAATAGAGTAGGTAGTGCCGTAGTGGCGTTCTGGTTCAGCGAAGTTGCCATGAAGCTTCTTCGTGTCCTTCCTTCTCTTTTCCACATATGGCCCCATGAATTGTTTATGACTCTTTTTCTTGTTTTAATCGAATTTTTATTGTCTTTAATTGACTCTTTCTTGCAAATTCATGTTCTGTATGCCTACAGTATTCCATTTCTCTGTTTCTTATTTCAGGCGGAAGCTTCAGATAATTTAATTTAAATAGTCAGATTTAAAGAGAGGTTTCTGTTTTCTGGGTTAAATCAATGGCCGGTATGTTACCTGGCGTTGAATGCGCTCGCCGGCGACGTTTTCATCAAAGCTGTGATACATCTTGGGCCGCCGTCTCTAGCTCCACTAGAAGATCTTCTTTTTGCTTGTACACAAGCAACCATGAAAGTTCTCAGACTTCTATCTCCTCTTCTCTGGTATCTCTCTCTATTTATATCAGATGCTCGTTGTTTCCATTTTCACCTTTTTTATCCCCTTGATTTTGATTATTTTTATGAAGATTTTTAATTGGATTATTTTTTAAAAATAAAATAAAATAGGGAAGCATAACAAAGGAGGCATACGAGGCTGAAAAGTTAGGAGAAGTGGCAAGACAAGCCAAGGAGAGATTAGATGAAAGGCTTAGAAATCAAAGAAAATCATCATCCAAAATGTAACAATTTAATTTTTATTTTTTTATTACTGTTAAATTAGTAATTCAGTGTTCGAGTGTTATGAAGAATAAGGTCGAAACTCTAATTAGATCTTTTCTCGATTATTTTAGAATATCGATACGAATTGTAAAGAAAAAAAAAATGATAGGTTTGGTGCATTTTAGCATAATCCATAAGGTATTTGCTAAGACGAACTGTACTAATGTTTTTTTTTTTTTTTAAATTTGAATTTAATTAGGCAAGAAGCCAGTAAAAGCTCGAGAGGAGCAGAATTGGCAGTTGGTGAATTGCAAACAGAGGATTCTGGAACAAAGAAAAATGGGTCAGCTAAGAAATTTAATTGGGCAAAAATGAGAAGGAAGGCAGCTGAGTAAGTGTGGGTGCACTTACCAATATCATGTGTTCAAATGAGGACATTAATTAGTTATGTTAGAGGTCCAAATTAGGTTAAACAGAAAACGAAAATTAGATCAGTGTGGTCTATCATATTATGAGTTATTACACAACTGCACAATAGGATAGACCTTATTCTGCTCTGTCTGGGCTCTCATGTATTTAAACAAGTGTTGAATGAAGGTCATAAAGTGATGGTGTTTGTGTCCGTAGTAATTTTTTTCATCTTCAATTGGTACAATAGTTATTAAAACTGAGCAAGATGTAATAAACAATTATCTGTGTATAATTGAGAAACTCTACGATTATCATCACAATTTTCTATTCATTCAATATGTTATATAAAAGAATTCAAATGGAGTAGTTTGGTGGCAAAGAGTATTTGTGGAATTGATTACCAGCTCATTTGATTTAACAAATAATTCATACCAGCTCATAGTTAATAATGAATTGTGAACTATAATTTACTAATGAATGTTGTCGGTATTTTAAAAATTTTAATAGCGATTATTGTTAATTTTTAGAATGAATATATTATTTGTTACTTGTCATATAAATAAATAATATTAATTAAAATTTTTAAAATAATATTTAATAAAGTTTATTTTATATTTAAATAACTCTAGATGGAATGATAAAAAATATTGATTTAAGAAATAATTTTATTAGTAACTTTTTTTATAAAATTAATGAAATTGAAATATAAATAAATAATTTAAAAAAAAAGTTGCAAAACCTTTTTATAGAATCAACAGTTCTTTGTAATTTCTATCAATTATTAATTAACTATAAGAATCAGTAATTAGTTGGTATGAAATACGAATAACCAAATCAAAAATTTATCAAATATGAGGGACTAAATAGTAATTTACGTATAAACTACAAAAGAAACCAAGGCCTTAAATTGGGAAAAACGTTTCGGTTAGACACGTGATCCATACCTGTAGGCATGTGAATACTGTACGCTTAGAATAAAGAGTAAAAACCCATTTGATTTTCGCTTCGGTTTTATAGTTAGTTCGGGTAATTGGAAAAAGTACTAGTAGGCAGTGGCGTTCTAGTTGAGCTAAGTTGCAATGAAGCTTCCTCATCTCCTTCCTCCCCCTCCATTTTCTTTCATTCTTTAATCTAGAAATTTTCAAGCACCCAATTTCTTTGAAGGTGAAGATCGACAATGATTTGGATCTATTTTTTGAATTTTTTAATTAATTAAATTAATTAATAAAGCCATTAGAGATATGGACCCATGATATTTTGTCGCCCACTATTTTTGATGGGTTGTTTATGTCTATTTTTCTTGTTTTAATCGAATTTTTATAGTCTCTACTTAACTCTTTCTTGCAAATTCTTTTTATTTATTCATACAGTCTTCCATTTCTCTGTTTCTTGTTTCAGGCGGCAGCAGGTTCAGTTCATTTAACTTAATTAATCAGATTCAAAGAGAGGTTTCTGTTTTGTCGCTTAAATCAATGGCTGGTATGTTACCTGGCGTTGAATGCGCTCGCCGGCGACGCTTTCATCAAAGCTGTGATACACCTTGTTCCGCTGTCTCTGGCTCCACTAGAAGATCTTCCTTTTGCTTGTATACAAGCAACCATGAAAGTTCTCACACTTCTATATCTTCTTCTCTGGTATATCTGTCTCTTATCTATAGCACATGTTCTTTGTTTTCTTTAACTATTTTTTTTCTTCTTGATTTTGGTTATTTTTATTAAGTTTTTTCTTTTTAAATTGGATTAAGTTTATTTACTTATTTAAAAAAAATAGAGAAGCATAATAAATAAAGCATATGAGGATGAGATGTTAGGAGTGGTAGCAAGACAAGCCAAGGAGAGATTAGATGAAAGGCTTAGAATTCAAAGAAAATCATCATCCAAAAGGTAAAAATTTTTATTTCTAATTTTTAGTTTTTTTTATTACTATTAAATATCTTATGAACAAAAATTAAAAATCCCAGAAAAATTATTATTGATAGATTTGGTGAATTTTAGCATAATCTACAAGGTATTTGCTAATATGCACTATAAATAGGCATGAGAACAAAGTAGAAGAAGGCAAATCATTAGCAGTTGGTGAATTGCAAACAGAGGTTTATGGAATAAAAAAAAATGGGTCAGCTAAGAAATTCAAATGGTCAAAAATGAGCTGGAGGGCAACTGAGCAAGAAGAGTGCACAATATGTCTTGAAAGGTTTAAATCTTGTGAGACACTGCTACACCTACCATGTGCTCATAAGTTCCATTGCAGGTGCTTGGCCCCATGGCTAGAGAACAATGCTCATTGTCCTTGTTGCAGAATGCAAATACACGTTCAACTTTCCCAATTTTAGTTTCAATTTTTATTTTTATTTTTTATCAGTTCTGTTCATACCAATAGATTCTGGATTTGACTATTGTTGTAGAGTATGGTGTACTCTTATTTCTGTTTTTTTTTTTTATTTTTTTTATTTTATGTGTAATTGGTAACAAAAAATGTGCATTTATCAAGAGATTTCGAGTATAATAATCTTTTTAGAAGTTGAGATTGAATTTATAATAATTAATATTGTTAATCTTATTTAAAATTTGATCCATTTATTATTATATTTAAGTATAAGTTTTTTATATTTTGTAATTAAAATTATGTGTGCTTTTCACATATTTTGCCTTAAAAAATTGGTGAGGGAGATTTTTGGTTTGTAAATGATTTATTTATGCTCTATAATGTAATTTTTTCTAAATATTTCTTTCTATTTATATGAAATATCATAGCTCTAGCTATGCATCATTTGGGGCTTCCACAGATTTCTATAATAAGAGAGGAAAATTAGGGATAATATGTTTAATCTTAATACTAAATTTGTATAAATGGTGTCTATTTTATATATATATATTTTTTTAAAAAATTAGTTTAACTTTTAACTATATAATATGAATTTAAAATATTTGGTTTTTTGCTAATTTTGGATCCTCATCTCAATTTGCTGTTTGTTGAAGTACTAGTCAATAGAAAATAGAAGTATTTCTTTAATAAGATTATGCATTATAATGCTAAATTCTTATCAAATCCATCTGAAATTAGTATCATTAATCCATAGAAAAGGAATTATATAAAAAAAAACTATCCTTCCTTTGAATTTTGAAGATTACTTTCAAACCCCACACCATCCCATCAAAGTGAAGCAATCAATTTCAATATATGTTTTCCTTTGTCTTCTTTTTTATTTAGTGATACAATTCCTTATGGTCTCAAATTTTATTAATTTAGTTATTAGCTGTTTGAGTAATTTTTCATAAAATGCTAAAAGCTAAACGTTAAATGAATTAACTTTTTATAAAATATTATATTAACCGCTAAATATTATGTAAAAAATAAAGTTTAGTGCTTTGACTGATCGACACGCTATTTAAAAAGCTGTTACCGAATACAACATTAGCTGCATCAAATTTGTAACTTTAATAATTGAAATTTCATTTATAAAAATCTGAAAATTGAATTTTCGCGTTCATGTGATATTTGAATTTATTTAGAAATAAATATGGTTTTTTTTTTTTGATCCATCAATTCTGAATATCAGACAGAATTAATTGCAGGAGATGAGGAATTTAAGATATAAAGCTTGAAAATATGGGCATCAGGGATTCTATTTAGCCTAAAAATCACTGTCTATCAATTCATTTCTCCTATTGAAGTTGAAATTCAAATAATACACCCATTCTTGTCCATGGAGTGGGCCAATAGATATTTTAATTGTGGCATAGAAAATCATTAGATACCTTTGCTTTCTCCAACTGAAAAAATTTGCAACTTACAGCACATAAAATCTTGAAACCATAAGAGTATGAGTTGAATTTCTGAAAATCAGACAAAAAATCTTTCTACTTTAGGGCTAAAAGGGAATTAGTCCACACTTAAAAAGAAAAAAGAGAGAGAGAGAGATACCTCTGATTCTTAAAAAAAAAAAAAAAAATTTTGAAACCATAACGAGTATTTGAGTTGAAATTCTGAAAATCAGACAAAAAATCTTCTAACTTTAGGGCTAAAAGGGAATTAGTCCACACTTAAAAAGAAAAAGAGAGAGAGAGAGATACCTCTGATTCTTAATAAAAAAAATTCTTAAAAAAAAAAAAAAAAATCTTGAAACCATAAGAAATCATTACTTTCTCTCAAAAAATTAATTTTTCTTTTCAAAATTTAGAGAGATTGATATAAAAGAAAAATCACTATTTTGTAAGTAAAAGGTAAAATTTTGTATTTTTTTTAAAAAAATATTAAATTAGAGGGACGGCTACTACTTTTAGCTACCTCTAATTTCGGGATTGCTTCTCATGTTTTAGATTTATGATTTTTTTTTTCTTGGTTTTTGGTGAGAACCAAACCATATTTAAAAGCGACCCATTAGCCACTAATGAAATTTGTGGCCCCTTTTTTTTTTTTTTTTTTTTTTTTTGAAGAGAATTTGTGGCCCTTTTCTATTACATATTTATTTATATTGATATATTGCATAAGAGCACTAATATATATGTATATGTGGAGAAAAATTATCCAGTAGGTGAGAGTGTTCATTTGCCCCACTAATGTGAATTTTGCCTTATTGGTGATTTTTCTTTACTTAATTTACAAGGATTAGCCAAAGTACCGATGTTAACTTATTATTTTAGCTCTTACTTGATTTACAATCAAGTCCAATCTTAAATTATAAACTTGAAAATTAAGATTTCAATCATTTAACATTGATTGATTAATGCATGTACTTTTTTGTAATTTCAAAAAATTAGATGTATGATTAAAATTGTCTTGTTTACATTATTATGCTATAGTTATATGAAATGGAATTGAGAGAGTATTTCAAAAAAAAAATAATAATAAAATTAAGATATAGGCCGAAAGTTTGATTCTTTTTTTTAAAAGGTGGGGGTGAAGCAACTGTCGAGTCGGGGTCAAACCCGATTCCGACTCGAAATACTTCTGAAATCCGAAATGAGGGAATGGCCTTGACTGATCCGATCCTTTTAAAGTTCAGCCCCACTTCAAATAAACTCATATTAAAAATTAGGGGTGGTTACTCAAGCCGTTTAACCGAGTTTCAATTCAATATTTTTTTATAAGTTGAATACTTTTTTTAATATGGCTCTTACAATTAAAAAATTTTATTGGATCCTACACATAATAAAAAATTGTCTAAAAAAAAAATTGTTGCTCAACAATCATAATAAAAAATTTATAAAATAATAATCAAACCAACATAATCAACGTCAAACATTCGTAATGAAAAACATAACACAATCAAAAAAACCATAATAATCACAGTCACACAAACCATAATTTTCCATCTTCAAATTATAACAAACCATAGCAATTAAAAAGGCCTAATTAAGTATTTAACATAAATAAGAGAAAATAAAAATATGAAAAATTTAAAAATTATATTTTTTAGTTGCTCAAGAAAAAATTACATGTCATCTTCAAAAAAATTAATTTTTGATTTTGGAATTGTTAATTTTACATTGCAAAAGAAGGAAAGAAAGGAGGGTGAAGTTCATGCGAAAATTAAAATAATAAGGAAGAAATTTTTCATTTTTCGGGTTTGGGTCGGGTTAAACAAGATATTTAACCGAATTCACCCAACGAAATAAGGGATATACATCCCACAAATGTCTAACCTTGACCCAACTTGAAACAACTTATTATACTATTATTTCAGTCGCTGTGGGTCGGATTTTGCACAAGCACTTATCCTTTTATGACATCAGCTTTTGAGTTTATTTATCAATATCCCTTTTTTTTCTTTTTTCTAATGAGATGGACCCCCACTATTGATACATAGTATTGGAAAAGTTCCACAAAGAGAATACATTTTTTTTTTTTTTTTTTGGACATTACAAAGAGACATTACATTTGATACCGAAGAAGAAGAAAAGTTAATTGGAAATGAGATGAGATAGAAGAATTAGAAAAAAAAAGATATAAATTAATTAAGGTAAAATTAATTTAAATTTTAATATTGTAATAAATAAATTATTAATTAAAATTGCTTAAATTGAATTATTCTGTAAATTATTTAATTAAATAAAAGTAAAATTAAATGGTTTAAGAGAGTTCAGATAAGATAATATTCAATTGGCATGATAGTAAACTTTATAGATCTAAATAGTTAATTCTAGCAAATATTTCATGAGTATTACACAACAATATGAGGATATGTTCAGTAAAATGTAATGTGGTTTTGGTAATTTTTTTAATTGTTTTTAGCAAGTATGTAGCTATTGAATAGTTTTTTCATAAACATTAAAAGCTAAACGGTTATATTAAGGTTGGACTTTTTATTAAAATACTGATTTTAATTTTTAAAAAGTTAGGTTCAAATATTTTGTTTACCAAATACTGTACAAAATAACATTTAAAATTATTTAAAAGTTAGTGTGCTGGACACGTGATAATAATTCTAAAAATTAGTCTTAAATGTTAAAACTTCCCTGTCTTCGATATGAGAAACTATTATTTCATGACCATAAAAAAAACCTTTGATTAATAAATTTGTTCGAACTCCAATTTTTTTCCAATTTTTAAAATATTAATAATCAGTGGTTTTTCCCTGATAATAAAACGACACCGCTTTTTAGTCCGCCAATTATTGGGTTCACTTTTGCTACCACCTTCTTCCCAAGTCCTAACGGCTTAGTTCCAAATGACGTTTTAAGCCACCAACATTCAAAACCCTGGCATATGAATACACATCATAAGGACAAAAGAAGAAGACCCATTGGAAAAAGGAAACCAGAAAAGAAAATTTTTATCTCTTTCTTTCTGAAATCTTCAAATCACAGCTCTTGGCAACCCAAAAAAAACAAGCAATCTCGGTTAAATAGCACTGTCTGCTTCAGCTCAAGGAAACCAAGGGATCATCAAAAAATGGTGTACACGATACACCAACATATTTACTCTTCTCTCCATGATTCAATTACCTCTATTTGCCAAGACTATTCTTCCTTTCTCCTTCAAGAAGCGGAGATTGCTCTGCTGCTGAGCACAGACTCTAAAGCTGCCAATCGGTGATAAAACTTGAAATGGCAACAGGATTCTTTCCATTCAGATCTTTTTATGGTTTCTTTTTTTTTTTTTTGGTATTTTGAACTTAATGGGTCTCCATAAAGAAGGAAATCTTAGCAGAGAATGAGGTTTTCAGCTTTTCGGAAACACCCATTTTACTCGGAAACCCTAATCGCTTCTCCAGCTGAACATGAACAAGCCACTCATTTTGAAGAGATAAGTTGGTCTTTTTACAGGCAAGTATACTATCTTAATGGTGTTATTGTTTTTCTTTTTTTTCAGAAATTAGTTAATAGTAATAGTTAGTAAACTGATTTTTTCCGTTAATGCTTGGTAATAAAAGAGAATGAATTTTTATTATTTTAGATTATGGGCTTTTTAGAAATTTTCAAATATTAAATGTAAAATTTCTCTCGCAATTTGTCTAATTTATTATGTACAAGAAAGTATTAATTTGAGTTTATTTTTGAATTAAACTAGAAAGAATTCTGTGTCGATT